AAGTGTTAGAGCCAGTCAGTAGTAAGCTTGAGCTAATGGCCGAGCAGTTTTAATTAATATAAGTCTCTGTGTGTTTACTTGGGTCTGAAAGGCTTCAGACTGGGCGGGGCACAGGAAAACTTCCAGCTACAGTCTCCATTAGGTGAGCAGATAATAGAGCTGAGTGACCATGGCCTGAAGTCTCTGGAACTGTAAGCCCAGATAAATCTTTCCTCCTTTGATGTTAATTCCCTCAGGTGTTTGGTCACAGTGACACGAAGTTGACTAACATAGTGTGACAATATTTATATTTAATCACAGGAAGCTATGTACTTTCAGATATATAGTCATTTGTCACTTAGCCATGGGAATACATTCTGAGAAGGTGTTATTGAAGAAATCCATCTTTGTATGAACAGCTACCTCACTAGATGGTGTAGCCATATAGGATCTCTGTGGTCCCGGCAGTCTGCTGTTGACAGAAACATCATCCATTATGTGGCACATGACTGCATGCTTATGTGGATCAAGAAAGAATCTGTAGGGATCTACATCAAAGTCATAGAGTTGAATTTTGTGGCAGGGGTGTAGGATTCTTGGAAGAGCGAAGAGAAAGACTCTTTTATATAGCCCTTCACTGTATTGTTTGAAGTCTTAGTTTTTAAAATGGATCAAAATACCAAAAAAAAAAAAAAGAAAGAAAAAAAGAAAAAGAAAGAAAGAAAAAAGGAAAAAATGCAACTCTTTACAATATAGATTATTGGGAAAAGACTTCAAGGAAGTTTATAAGATTGTCGATGAGTAAGGTGGCAGGATCCTGACACCTCTGTAACATGAAGGGAAAACAGTACAACTAATGGCCCAGAGGCCTTCACAGCTCATACCCAAGGCTTTTGCACAGAGCGGCTTTCCAGTCTCCCCATTCTGTCATTCACTGGACTTTCACTATTTCTCTATCTTACAGCTAGTCAAACAACTCACTTTTCACCAATGTCCCTAAATAGAAGGAAAGGAAGAAAGCAAGCTGATTCCTTGAGTTGTAGATCTTTTCTGTCCTTCTTTATTGCCTTCATTTGTAAACCTTTGGCATCTTCTCCCCTCTCTGAATCTGAACGGTCCAAACTTGTACAAACTGAGTCAAGAATCTTTTTCTTCATGACATTCTAGCAGTGCTTTGCTCTAGTAACCAAGATAGCAGTTTTATGCTTATGCTCAGATTAGTTCTTCAATTACACATGGAAAATAATTATATTTTTTAATGTGATGTTCTTATTTCTTGTTAGATAAATTCCCTTGAAACTATAAGATACAAGAGAAAAAATAGCAGGAGAAGGAAAAGGAATTGAAATCCCAATCATTGGGCCCTTGTGGCCCATGAAGTCAGGTTCTTCTATCTTGTAAAAAGATGACCTGATCATGAGGTTCTCATCATGCTGACACTATAAGCTGAGGGCTTTCATGAGCATACAGTGGACTGACTCCTCCATCCTGGAAGCTGAACTGCCCCTAGACATTCTTTGACTTCTTTTCCTCCTGAGAAAGAACCTAGAGGTGGTGGTTGAGGCAGCAGCAGATAGGCTACAAGCTTCTAGAAGGAAGTGGCAAGTTCTTTGAGAGGAAATGCTTGCTTTGTCAAAGCAATGTGACTAAATGAAGAACAGCCAAGCAATTCAATGATAAGAACCAGACATTAGGATATTTTTTTTCCCCCGTGCTAAAGTTGAACTCAGAGCCTTATGCATCCCAGGCAAGCACCCTCCCATTGAGCTGTATCCACACTCCTTGTTTTTTGAGACAAAGTCTCACTGTATGTCAAAGGCTGGCCTTGAACTCACTGTGCAGCCCAGGCTGGTATTGAAATCTGGAAGCTCCTGCCTTTATCACCCGAGTACTGGGATTACGGGAGTATACCAGCCTCGTGCTGTGGTTTCTAATTTGTCAGGAGACAAGATGAGAAGCGAGGCAGAGAAGAGCATATCTGGAAGCATGGTAGCGCTCACACATTGTAGTACCTATTGCAGCATCTTGTAATTAGCAAGCCACAAGGTGTCACTAATTCAAGCCGAGAGAGAGAGAGAGAGAGAGAGAGAGAGAGAGAGAGAGAGAGAGAGAGAGAGAGAGAGAAAGACAAAGGTGGTACTGCACCTGTTACAGGATAGAGTTTCTCATCTATATTGGCCCCAGTTCCCCCATCCCAGCCTTGCAAGGAGAAGCAAAACAGCACAATCATTTTGAAGATGCATTCTGTTTTGGCCTGCAGAAAAATAACACGTAATCTCCAGAAGAGGAGTTCAGGCAGGTTACCCAAGGATTTGAGGAGGAGAATGTTGACCAGTGTCCTGGCCATGGTCCAAAGCATCAGAACATCTGGGACAACTCTAGCTGCTCTTTGTAAACCACGGAAATGGGGAAGATGTGACAGAAAGATGCAAAGACTGCACTGGAGGTGGAAATACCTAGAAACAGCCTCAGTCACTGCAGTGGGTGAAAATGCAGACAGGAGAATCAGAGGTGTCCACTGAGAACCATATTCCTGCCTTCTCAGCTGCAATGGATGCCTTTAATCTCCCACAGTGAGATGGCAGTCAGCCTGGTGCATGACTCTGGAGTCTTAAAAAGGCCTCCAAAGAGATGCTCTACAAAAGACGTCTGTATATACAGAGATTCCTCAAAACCATGCTGATGAATGTAAACAGATGGGCAATAGAGAGAGCCAGACTCCTTCCCCCCAAATATACATTGGCTTAAGCATGAAGGGGGAAAACATTTAGTTGTTGAGATATGCTTGGGGTTTTGCTGAGCCCAGAGATTCTGGAGCATAGGGTGAGTGAGGCCTTTTTGCCAAACCCCAAATACTGCAGGGTTAAGCTTTTCCCTATAAGCAATTAGATAATTGCCGTTTCATTCTGTGGATTTCTCAATTGTTTTGCTGCTTCCCCCTCCCCCTTTTTTTAAAGCAAACAAAATAATTATCTTTGTCTCAGGGTAATTTTCCTAATATTTCCACAATTAAATAATTACTCCAACCCCTGAATTAAAAACTGCCCATCTGTCTCTGTGGACACAGCAGATGCCAGCTGCTTTAAATAACCCTTCAGAGCGATCAGGTTAAGGGTTCCATTTGTGTCCTTAGAAATTAACACAAGGAAGCCAGCTTCACAATGCGGCAGACAATTCTATTTATAATGCTTAATTAATCCTCTCCAGTTACCCAGAGCACTGGCTGGCAACCTTTCATTTCCACCTCACCCAAACGCTTCCCAAGAGAAGAGTTAAAACGTGAACGCTGGTAGAATTCGCTGGGGTTTTGGTCAAGTATGAAAGAGCTGAGTAAATTAGCTTCTGATAGCTCACTAATCACATATAAGAAGGACATGTCAAGTCGGGCAGCATTGATGAAACATGTCATCAAAATCCTGAGCTGGAGCGAGGTAGAGATAAAAAGTGGGTGTTGTCGCACTGTCTGCCAACCAATGTCAGTCTGGGCAGAAGAGAGGATGATAAGGAAAACGTGAACCGTTTCGAAGGATTAGCGTCAGGAAGCCATCCTGAGGGACTGCATCTGTGCACAGCCTTTGGTCGTCTACAGTTGCCTTCTCTTTGCCACAGAAAATCCAGTGGTCACCAAGTCAGTCCATTTGTAATCTCTTACCTCAGACACTACATGTGGAGTGAACTTACCCCCGGACAGTTCCAAGCACCCAGAGAGCTAGCACATCTACAGAGATGTATGGGATGCTCTTGAGAAGCAGAAAGGAAGGCATGCACCCTAGGTGGGCAGTTTCACAGCTAGAGAGAGTGGTGGAGACTTGAACACACAGTTTCCTGTGGACCAGCATCCTGGAGCAGGTGTAGAGAGCTTTCCACATGCCCACGTGAGTCGGAAAAATCGATTGATTACCTTTCCTTTCCCGTATGCCAAAGTGGGCAGAGTGCAAGGACTCAGGCTCTTTTGTGAGCTTCTAAGAAAAACTCTATCATCTTGTCATCCCTGGTGTTCATGAAGTGAGGATGAACATGCTTTGTGACATCGCCGTGACAGGCAGGGACACAGAGGCTCAAGCACATAGCAGGGACTGTGTATGGGGCTGGCTGGCTTCATTACATCCTGCCACATCTTCCTCCCCTGGGGCCTTCCTGTCCTTCACCAGTGACTGGCTCAGGCTGTCAGTCCTTTGCTTTTGAACAACCCTCTCTCTTTCTTGAATTCAAACTCGCTGTCTGTCTCCCCCAGTCCACCATACACACTATCAGCACTTCAGCCATTTACTTGTGATCTTGCCCCTATCTTATCCAATAGCTCTCCACAGTTTATCACATGAAGTCTTAGCTCCCTGGCTTCTGCTTCTGTTCCAGCCCCTCTCCGCTCTACATGGTCCAGAGCAGCCAAACTCTTATTTCCTACTCTCCCGCTGCGTGTTTCCTCCTCTAACTGTTCCAGTACTTTTGTGCATTGACAGCTGGATTCATTGTTCCCTCCATGTAGAATTTATATTGTCCCCAGTATCCCCCCCCCTCCAGCTCCCATCTGTCCTCCAAAGCCACGTCTGAAGGCCACCTCCATCCTGGGAACTTTACTGACCATGCCACCATCTTATCATCATCTTCTTTTCTGGCTCCAGTGAACGTCAGTGGGGACAGAGAGGGCAGTTCCTGTGCTTCCTGCTCCCCGCCCCCATTGATACCCACATTTCAGCCCTTTTGCTCCTCAGATCAACTCTGTTTTTCTTTTGTCCATTATCACTGCCTTACCCTCTGAAGGACAGATGTGCGGCAGACATGAGTGAGATGTTCAATGAGGGAATGGCCGCCTGGTCCTGTTCCATCTACCTGTGACTTATTCTCATTCACCTTCCTGAACCTTCACATTGATATGCATGGTTATATTTCGACTTCAGGAACAAAGGGGGATAAAAACAACCCCACTAGTGTGAATCCAAACACTCGGAGCACACAGTCCACCCCCACGCCCCCATACCTTTCCAGGAAGGAGCAGAGAGAGAAGAGGGAGAGTGCAGTACCTTTGTACCTGGTCACCACAGCTGCATTGACACTGAGGGGCTCCTGGAAACTGACAGTGAGTGATGTGCTGCTGGTTACCATGAGACAGGCATTGGCTGGCACCTCTGGGGGTCCTAGCACAAGAGGGAGATCATCAGTGTGTTAGCTTCTCAAATCCTTCTCCAACAGCCTTCCTGCCTCTTCATAGGGCAGTGGGAGCACACACTCTGGAGACATTGGTTTGTACAGCCCACTAGCTTTCCCTTGTGAACATTTTCTTTAAAAGGTCCAGTGTGTGTGTGTGTGTGTGTGTGTGTGTGTGTGTGTGTGTGTGTGTACATGTACTTGCTCCAGAGGAGGATGTAGTACATCTTGCACGATCACTCTTCAGTTTACTCTCCTGAGACAGGGTTTCTCACTGAACCTGGAGCTGGACTGGCAGTCTGAAAGCCCAGCATTCCTCCTGTCCTCCACTCTGACACAGTGCTGGAGTGGTGGTGTGGCCATGCCTCAATTTTTACACGAGTGCCCAGGATTCAAACTTAGGTCCTTAGCTTGCACGGTGAATGGTCTTTACCCGAGGAGCCTTCCGCGCAGCCCCTGCATTTGGCATCTAACTCTCTCCCAGAGTCAGCTCGTGTGGTTGGACATTCGCGGAGGCAGGGGCTTTGAAACCATTTGGAATTTCAGCTCCAGTTCTTCTAGTTGTTTACATCAGACCTTTTAGGATGAGGGTTTGGGGGCTTTGTAAGTGTTGGGTTTGCACATTTTAGTTTTAATGAAATCTTCTAGGATAAAATACAACTTTACAGAATGGAAGTTTTAATGGCTCGCAAACATCTGAGCTGTATGTGTTCTTCCATCAGGGACTTCACTCAGCAGCGTTCTGCACTGCCAGTAAGGATTAACCTGGACTGTCTTAACCAAGCACAAAGAACTGGTAGAAAGAATGGAAATGTAGACAAAAGCATAATTCATGGGCCAGTTGACTATCTTTCTCTGCTGTATTAAGTTCAGTTTATAGCTCTCTATAAAAAAAATACAGTAGAGTTGAAAACACTTTAAACTTGAACTTGAAGCAGAATCTGGACAAATAGGCAAATAAATATTTTTCCAACTCCACATCCCAAAATACAGCCACTTAGGCCATCAGACTGTCGGGTCATTAGGCATTAGGGCGTAGCTGGTGGGAAGTGCTAGATGAGCGGAGATGTGGTGGAGCGAGGCCAGAAGCACCCAGGGCTCAAGGCTGTGGCCAGAGAACCAATTGGGAGCCAGAAAACCAAGCAAGACAAAAGACCCTTTTACAGTCTCCCAGAGCTCTTGCCCCAAACAGACTGACAACAGCCATCTATGCCTGGAGAGCTGAGAAGAGAAATCAGTAAAAGGCCTGGCTGGCTCTAACCGAAGCTCAGCCTCGGTCTGTGCCTCCGTCCTTTGCGCATACTCACTGGCGTGCTCGAAGCCGGTTTTCATGCGCCTGTAGAGTCGGTACCTCCACTCCCACGCCTTCAGCTGCTTCTCCTTCTCGGTGTTGTCCAGAGTGAAGCCTTCGTTCTCCACCTGGGCAGACAGCTCACTCACCCTGTCCTGGGCCTCCTGGACGAGTGTGTTGAGGTGCATGGCTCGGCTTTCCCGGCTGACGACTGTGAGGAAAAGAGACAGGATGATAGCGCTCCTTAGGAAGTACGGTGGCTTTAGGCTATCCGTGTCTCTCCTGGAGAACGTGGGATCTGTGTTTTTTATCAACTATCTTACTATACAGCCTAACACCAACATTCACTATTTAGTGGTAAATTCAACGAATTAAGACATCCCCATTGCTCTTTGGCTATTTTGTCACATCTTCCCAATGAGCTCCTTTGGCAGAGTTAGTCATGATTTTGTTGATGACTTTTGGAGGGACAAATGCTTGAAATCAGAGGCCCCATCAGTCCATGAAAGCTGTGGAACAAATTGCATTCTACCAAAGTTGATTTTTCAAAAGAAATTTTTGGTGGAATCCAGTTTAAATTTTCTGCCCTTATCATATTCCTCGCAGCATAGAGAAAATTTTGCGTGTGTGTGTCTTAGTATTAACCAATTCGTACATTGCTAATGAAATGTCTCAAACCGGTGCCACAGTTGAGCTAGTGGGTTCTGACGGCTGGCCCCCACACTGATCTTTGATTGTGGTCTGGTTACAGGAATGCACCTTCTCCAGAAATATCCATGCCCCAGAGAGTAAGACTTACTAGAGATTTGCCTTTGGATTTTACTGATGCATCCCAAACTTCGCTTGGCTTACATCACGTTGTTTACTCAATCTGCCCTGTGTGGTCAGATGTATACCAGTGGTAGAAGTTGCCCATTCTTGTGCTCAGCCTGTGAGGCTGCTTCCTGTGGTCTGCAAGGGAGGGTCTGCTTAGGTGGTCACCTGTCACTTCTGAGGGGCCCCTCCCAACTGGTGGCAAGACAGGAGACAGCCTCATTCTGGAAAGGTAGCTGAAGACCACAGGAACAGGGACATAAGCCAGAGGCAAGGTCTGCAGATGTGTTACTGGAATGTGTTTGACACTCCCTGTGACCAAAACAATATTTCTTTCTGATGAGTGGGAAGCAGAACCCACCCATTTCATTCTTTATAATTAATGGGAAATATGATGAAGATAACTCAAGTGAAAATGTGTTAGGCATATTTTGAAATGGAAATTAGGTGGTTGTATACTCAGATACTCTGTGTTCATAAGCATGTCTGCGTTAATTACAGGAAATGAATACTAATTTATTATTGCCCCTGAGCACCATCAGTCTAAATTTATTTACAGATGAGGTCAATGAAAAATTAGTTGAGTCTTTTTTTTCTTTTCCTTTTCTTCTTTCTTCTTAGGGCTGCTGTTCAGAACACCCGGGACTGTGTTCTGCTGCAGGTTTGGCATGGTTAATGAATGTTGTCGGAGCAGTCAATCATGTACTCAAAATACTGTCACACTTCTTTTTTTAAAGCCTCAGTCATGAGCCATGACAGAAAAATAAACAAATAAATATAAAGCTAAAAAACTCTTTGACTGAGCAGCCACGCTGTGCAGAATCCCCCGGGGAGGCTGAAGGAGGCCAGAATAAATGATAATATAAGTGTTGGGGATGTAGTGAGGCCATGACGGTGTATGAATAGGGCGGTACAGGAGGAAAAATGCACGCGCGCGCACACACACACATGAGCACACACTCCAGTGGAAAAATTGGCAATATTAGTAGCCTCAAGGTGCAATTTCCTGGAGCAGTTAAGGCTGACAAGGCAGTACTAAATGCTGTTAATTTAACTAACTTCAGATTAATGGTAGAGTCTGCTCTGACTGACGCTCTCAAACACAGTCTCATTATAGGCTTGCTGGGAAGGCCCTAAATATAGGCATTGACAGTTTCAAACAAATCCGTATACATCTGTGTATTTTTAGACAGAGGCTAGGCGTCAGAGTTTGTGTCACAGTTTTGAGGTTGATTAATTGACCCAGTAACTGCACCCTCTCCCCACAGCCCCCTCCTCCTTCCCCGCTAAATTATAGAGAAAATGGAGGAATTGTCCTCGTGAAGTTATTCAGTGGGCCTTTTATTGTAAGCCTGGTGTTTGAATTGCATGCATGCGTCAACACTTGGGTGATAGACACATGATTTATAAAAATAAATTTTTCTAATACTATGAAATCCCCCCTATTAATTTTTATATCCACAACAGTTATTATGGGTGGGAATTCCAGGTGGCATTTCAGATGGACAGCTTCTCTTGAGGTCTCTGAGTGGTTCTCCCCCCCGCCAAGCCCTGACATTTTTCCTGCTTTCCCGGGCCTAGCATGTTTACTTCTGCACCCTCTACTCGCCCTAGGCTTCAGTCCTCTTCCTCACCGCAAAGCAATTCTGCCCTCTCAGAGTCTACCAGGAGAGCACCTTCGACTTTCACAGCTTGCTAGGTGCACAGTCCAGGAGGGGCTGCAACCCAGTGCTCTGCAAAACGCCACGGTCCTGCCGTGGCAGGGTGTAATGGTGAGGGTGGGTAGGGCAGGGATTGGAGGGCATGTCTGGAGACATAACACTCCAGTGCCAGTGTTTTTCTAGAACACTGGATTCTATGTGCGGAACTGAGCAAGAACGTATTGTTTAGGAATGAGAAATGTGTTTATTATGGAGGAGAATGGGGGGAAAAATCCTAAAAAACTGAAGATTTGTGTTTTTGGAAAAGAGAAAGTATTTTGAAACCTTTCCCCGCCCCAGGTTCAGTCCCAGGTGTCCCTAAGGCTGCTGCTCACTGGCCTCTGTTGTTAACAGGTAATTGCTGCGTGGACAAATCTCAAAGCACTGGCTGAGTCTGTGTTCTCCAACCATCTCACCAGGCAAATCTTTATATTTTTTTCCTATGGATTTTTTTTTAAATAGCTTAATAAAACACTCTTTTGAAAGATTTTTTTTTTTGCTACCAAACCAGCTGACTTATAAAGCAGTCATGTTTCTGCTTATTATTAATGACCCATTTAATGGCCAATAGTAGCGCCTGTTCAGATGAGATAATCAACCTAACTGGGTTAATTTACTTTAAGCAAAAGCAAGTGAATATGATAATTATATCGGGCTGGGTAATTTTATCATGAGTGGAAGTGTGATAGGGTAGATTTTGACACCTTGAAAATTGTTCTGGGGACCTTTTTTGTTTGTTTGTTTTGGTTGTTGTTGTCTGTTTGATTTCAGAATGGGAACCTTTTTACTCTCCTTATTTAAAGACGAAGAAGCTGAAATCCAGGGAAGCAGGATGACTTAGTCACAGTCTTCTTAAACACCTTCAAGAACTCAGAGAACTCTTCTCTAAACCAAACGGAATATGAATCAACATATTATTTATATATTGCAGTTTATATTCAGCTGGAAATTGGCACATTCATTTTGGCTGGTTGGTTGGAAATGGGGGGCGGGGGTCGTGGCTGTTTTCCGGTTGATTTTTCCTGCCCGTCCACTGCTCCCTGTCTTGGGTTTCTCTATTCCACTTTTACTTCTACCCACGGGCTGTTTGCTTCCTGAGTTCGGCACTCCTGACCTCTGCAAGTGTAAGCTTTTTCTTTCTCTTAGCAGTTGGTCCCTTCTGCAGCCCAGCGACTGTCCCTCTGAGCAGCCATAGCCAGCACAATAGAGGGTCTGTGGGTGTGTGGCAAGCCGTCCGGCTCGGGCAAGACCACTTCACGGCTCCTGAGACAGGCTCCCTGCTATTGTGGTGTTTAATTATCAACAGTATTTCTACCACCCAGTGCTTCAGAGTGGGAATTTGTTATAAGACCTGCCCAGCTAATTAACTATGGGATGGGGGTGGGAGGTGGGGCAGGAACTTAGTGTTCAAAGAATACAATTAGGGTTACTGTTTAAATCCTGAGATAAATAGTGATGGGGCTGAATGGACTTTGTCTAGTGCTGGAATCTAGCTTAGGGACTGTAGATCCTTAACTATTCCATCATTTTCCTCTTCCCCCATCACTGTTGAATGGGGCCTGGCTGACAGTTACATAAAGTTTGAAAATAGGAATGGGGGCAACATGCAGATTAATTTGAAAACTTGAAACTTTTGTTTTTAGTTATGTTGTCTCCGTGTGAGTGTGTATCTGTAGGCACAGGATGTCTTGGAGCAGGAGATAAAGGCAGTTGTGAGCCGTTCCCGACGTTGGCACTGGGAACTCAACTCAGGTCCTCTGCAGGAGCAGCAATCACTGGTAACCACTGAGCCATCTCTCCAGACCCTAATTTTATTTTTTGGTTTTTCAAGACATGAGTTTCTCTGTGAAACAGTCCTGGCTGTTCCGGAACTCACTCGGTAGGCCAGGCTGGCCCTGAACTCACAGAGATCCACCTGCCTCTGCCTCCCAAGTGCTGGGATTAAAAGCATCTGCCACCACCGCCTGGCTCCCCTAATTTTAATTTTAATGGAGGTTTTGAGGGAGTAATTTATTTGGCTTTCTTGAAAAAATGAATACATTTGCTTTTAATGATGACATGCCATTTTGCAATTTAACAACATCTTTTTATTTTTGCCAGTTTTCTCTTTCTTATTGATGAGATAAACAAGATTCTAACACAACGGCTTCATCTCGGTGACGGAAGGATCCTTAGCCCAGCTTGGATGCATCCCCACCCCTGTGCCGGCTTTGCACGTAAGGTCACTGTTTGCAAAGGCAGCCTTATTCAGCCTCAGGCACCCCTGAATCTGAAACAGTGCCTTGTCTTCAGCAGAAATACGCTTTGTAAATGGTTATTTCCAAGAATGGAGATAATCCTCGAAGGTCCCTTGCAATCCTAGAGATGACGTGGTATCCTTAAAAGATGTGTGGTCCCAGAGAGAGCCATGTGTCCTCCTTGTTACCGAGCCTTTCTGGATCTGTGGATTGTAGCAGGGTTATCTTTCACTTTGTACCTCATATCCACTTATAAGAGAGTACATACCATGTTTGTCTTTCTGGGTCTGGGCTACCTCACTCAGGATGATTTTTTTTCTAGTTCTATGCATTTGCCTGAAATTTCATGATGTCATGATGTAACCACTGAGTAGTACTCCGATGGTTAGATGTACAGCATTTCCTTTATCCATTCTTCGTCTGAGGGACATTTAGACATGCTGTGCATTTTTAAACAGGAC